CCGGGGGGGAGGGGGGATAGGGTGGATTTTGGAAGGTTAATGGAGCAATTTGGACTTGAAGGAAGCTGCTGGAAAATGGCAGCAGCTGTTGGAATCGCACATGCGGAATTTTGGGCGTAGGTGCGACCATCGCAGAAGCGAGATGAAGCTCGCATAAGCGAAATTGACTGGTCTGGACTGAGGTCGCAGGTGCGAAGAATTTCCCGCACCCGCGTGATCGCAAAAACGGACAGAGGAGGCGCAGAAGCGGAACCCATCGCAGGTGCGCACTGGCCATCGCAGAAGCGATATGCGCAGATGCGGCATTTTGCCCGCAGGTGCGAAACTGAATAGAATCATTAAGGACCAAAATTGGTCATTTCGTCATTTTCGATTTAGATTTTGGAGCTCGGTTTTGGGGAGATTTTGGAGGAGCTCTTCAAGACTTTGACTTTGGTAAGTATTCTATATCCTAAAGTGATTGTATTTCATGAATCTATGGTTATATTCATCGTTTAATTCGAGTTTAATGGAGGAAATGAGAATTTTTGTAAAAAAAAATTCAAAAATGAAAATTCAAGTTTTGGAGGACGATTTGTTATTGGAATTCAATGAAGTTGGTATGGTTGAACTTGTATCGGAATGGGTGTTCGGATTTTGTGAAAATTATGCCGGGTCCGAAAGGCGAGCTCCGCGTTGACTTTTGTTGACTTTTTGAAATAAAATTTTAAGTTGACGTATTATTATCCGGAATTATTTTTGATGAATTTTAATAAAGTTGTACAATTAATTTAGATAGATTTGAGATGTCCGTAGGTCAATTCAAGCAAGAAGGCGATTTTGGAATATCGGCATAACTTTAAAAAGGTAAGTATCTCGCCTAACCTTGAGTGGGGAAATTACCCCTTAGGCATTGAGTCTTATGTCCAATTTGTGTAATTGAAAACCATGCACGCGAGGTGACAAGTACGCACTTGGTTTATATGTGCAAGTTACATTGGTTAAGATCCTTAGACGCCCTTATGTATTAAATTGGAAATTATTGTCACATATTAAATCCTTTAATTGTCTTGCCTAAATCCTTGTTTTGTTGGATTTATTTTTTTTATGTGATGATTTGATGTGTTGCCACCTTGATTTGTATGTGAAATATTATTTTGTTGAGTTGTTCACTCCCAGATATATTTGCTAAGATTTTGTGCACATTATGGTCGAGTCATGGGCTCCTTATTGTGGAAAATAATGTATTGTCAAATTTTGCAATAAATTATAATATTTGAGCATTTGATGTGCAATATGTGATAAATTATAATATTTGAGCACTTGATATGCAATCTGTGATAAATTATAATATTTGAGCACTTAATGTGCAAATCTGTGATATGTTGTAATATTTGAGCACTTGAGGTGCAATTTATGAGATGTGATATTATTGGAAAGTTTTGTTCGAGTGTTTGCACGAGGTTTCTGCCGCTCTATTATTACTATTGATTTATGCACATGCGGCATGACAAGGCGGGATATATATATATATATGTGT